TGGATGCTGTGAAATCATTGTGTGCTCCTTAGCAAATGTTCAGGTTTTCTGAGGTGCCCCGCCAGGAAGCTCCTCTCCCTGTGGGATCTACCCTGTCTTCTTGCAGTTGGAAAGATGCTGCCGTTGAAAGCAGGTGATGAGGCTGCATGGAGCATTGCCAGTCCCATGGGGCCAGCTGGACCATGGCCATGCTGGCTGGGGAGGCAAGGATTGGGAATGCTGCCTTGTACCATCCAAACTCAGCCAATCTGGGGGGACAACGCTTATGAGCTGGTTAAAGCTGCGTTTGTGCCAGTGCTTTCCAGCTTTTTCTTCCCGTTGTGTGGAGAGGTCCATAGACGTATAGAGGTCCCCTCCTCTGTGCAGGTGATGCTGCCCTCACCTCTGCTGTGGACATCTCCATGGCCTTTCTCGTGCTCCCTGCTCATTTTGGAGCTGGGGCAGCTGTATCAGCCACCAACACAGTAGCAGAGCCCACAAGTGGTGCTTCCCATGGGGAAGGCACCATGATGGAGCATGGCTCTGGTATGAAAAAAAGCGATTTCTGTCCAAAGGTGTTGGTGTAGACCATGCTGGGACCAAATTATGGGGCCAGGGAGAGCGGAGGGAGGTTTGCACCCCTGCCAGGAGGTACCTCCTGGCCTGGTGTCTCCGATGTCCTCGGTTCTGGGCATGGAGGTTAGTGCTGGGTTTTGTCCTCGCTCCTCTCTCCGCTTCGGCTGGAGCGGGGACAGCCGGTGCACGGAGAGGGTTTTGCATCCATGTTGCAGTTTTGGACATCCCTAGGGGTGTGGCCTCTGCTGCAATCACCACCACTTTTATCCTCGGGCTGCACCCACCTCCATCATCATCTTTGCAGAAAAAATGCCCTTTTTCCGCTCAAAAAATTGCCTTGCTTTCCCTGGGATCTTCCCAGCTCCCTCCCACTGACCAGAAGGTGGATGAAGGATGGGTCACCATGGCTGGTGTTTTTGATACCCTTGGATGCAGGTGGCTTCCTCTTCCAGGAGCATCCACAGGGGTTCATTCATCCAGGAGCATCCTGGAGATGTGTGGGGCCAGGCAGCGATGGACCTACCTCTTGGTGTCATCTTCCTATCTCCATTATGTATGTAAAGCTGCTATGGTTGAAGTGTGTCTTCAACCTCTTCTCTGCACCCAAAACTGGTGCTTTCAGGTCACCTTTGCAGCAGCTCTAGCTTGTTCTCCTCCATTTGCTCGGTATAAGGATATGACCCTTTCTCTTGAGAGGTCCTGGGAGATCCATCATTCTTGAATTGCCCTGCCCAGAATGGGCCGTGGTTTGTCCTACCACTGATGATGGTGGTGGGAGGAAGAGTTGGTGCATCTGTAACGGGACTCAGGGGTCTTGCTCCATCAGCCTGGGCTGTGGGTGGCATGTGGCCCTTGGGGAGCTTGGCCACAGTGTCCTGCACTGTGGTGACCTTCTTGCATGCAAGGTGGGGTGGCCTGAAGCTGTAGGAGAAAAGCACTTGAGTGCTTCTCCCATGGGTCATGTGGCCTCCCGTGGCTGGGATGGGCTCTCGGATGGACCCACGGGAGCACTTTTTTGGATCAAAGGATGAGCAGGGCCATAGGAACAGGGCGCGGGATGGGATTTGGGGCTGGCTCCCGGTTCCTGCTCGCAGACGCTGCTCTCCCCGCTCCACCAGGACAAGGCAGTGACACGGTGCCATCTCCACGTGCCGCTTTCCCCCACCTCTGGGCTCCGGAGCCGTCGGGCTGACGCCGCAGGCGGCGTCTCCACCGAGCTATTGTTTGCCCTTCCTGCTTGTTTTTCCTGACGGACCTCCCCTAATTAAACAAAAAGAGCATTTTATTTATTTTTTTATAGTTTTTTTTTTTCTTGCATGGTAAACAGACCAAAAGAAAAAAAATCTCCCTGGCTTCTCCTCTTTGTGCCTTCCCGCATACCCAGATGCAAATCCGAGGAGAGCCTTCCCCCACCAGGCATTCCCGCACCGCGCTCCAAGAAGAGGGGATCCCCTGCTTTGTGCTGACCTAGCGCTTGCACCTGGGCTCCCTGGTGCCGTCTTGTGGCATTCCCAAGTTTTCTGGGGGAGCCACTTATCCGATGATGCTCCCGGTCCTGTGAATATGGGGCTCTGGTGTCCTGCCGAGCTGCATGTCCTCCAAAACGGGGCAGGAAAAGGCAGGGAAACTTTGTGGAACATCTTAGCTTCTTTTCATGGGAGAAACGTGCTTGGTGTTGCAAGGGAGGGTGATTTTTAAGAGAAACCTCAACTATTTCTTTTGCAAAATTGGAGCTGCTTGTGGCTCTGGTTGGTGGCAACCGGAGCCTCCTGCGCCTGCCTGTCCTTGCCCCTCTGTGTGGATTTGTGACCCTGGGGTATTTTTCCTGGTTTTTATTTCCACGTATGGGCATGACAATCCATCTCCAGGATTTGTCCCACTCCCAAAGCCACAAACGACCTTGTGCTAGTGAGGAGCTTCCTTCACAGCCATCTCCTCCCTCAGGGCTATTTGGTCTTGCAGCCCCACTCCAAGTTTTGCACCTTCATCAGACAGAGGTGGAAACCGGAGACGGGGCAGAGGGGCTTGCAGGGTCTCTTGCTGCTGGAAAAATCAGTGGGAAAAAGCCCTATTCTTGGGGACAAAGCAGAACAGCCATGCATTGAAGTGATCCATGTGATCTCATCGCTGGATGTTACTTTTATTCCCATGGGCGCCTCTTTGCTTTGGAGCACAAATCAGGCAATTCGGGTGTGGGGGAGAAAGCACCGCTCTGCTTGGGCGCATCTCCCATTGCCTTCGGGGCGGGGGTGTTTATTTTGGGGTGCTTTGCCGTGTTTTGCCCGTCCCCGGGGCTCCGCGTTGCTGCCACGCGTTGCTGCTCCGGCCAGCGCGTTTCGTAACGCCGGGCTGGCGGCGGCGCCCGGGCAGATGTCTTTAATAACGCCGCTCCCCCCGGCTCCTGTCCCCGTCCCCCGTCCCGGAGCCGAGCGCGCCGGGTCGGAGCCGGCGCTGGCTCCGGCGGGGAGGCCGCCGGGAAGCAGCTGGGAGCAATAAGGAGCCACGTCCCGCGGCGGGGCTGAAGTCAGCGGCGGGATGCGGCCAAGGCACGCGCCGGCGCCGGGCAGGATGCGCTGGCTCTCCCTGCGCAGCTCCGCAGCAGGAAAATCTCGGATCTCGGGGCAATCCTGCACCGGGATGCTGGTGGTGCGGAAAGCGGGATGGAGATGCAGAAGGGAGCAGCGCTGAGTCGCCCGTTCCCTGTTTTTCCCCATGTTTGCAGTCACCGGGGTTAGAAAAGGCCCTTTGGAGGGGAGCAGGGATTCCCGGGAGAGAAGGGGCATCCGGGATCCGATGGTTTTGGAGGGGACCTGCTGGTGTCCCAGGACTCTGTGTGCGGCAGCGGGGCTGGCCACCATCTTATTTACTTTTCTCCAGGATCCTCCTGACCATACAGCTTGAGGCTGCCTGTGGTCAATACATATCTATATCTATCTCGGTATATATTGATATAATGGAGAGAGCTATATCTATTTATATATAACTTAATTATTATTATTATTACAACAATTATGGAGAGAGCTATATCTATATATTTATATATAACTTTATTATTATTATTACAACAATTATGGAGAGAGCTATATCTATTTATATATAACTTAATTATTATTACAACTATTTTATTTAATTTACAAACATTTATATACAAAAGTTTATTTTGTTTTGTATGAGAAGATGCAGGGAACTTGTTGGAGGCTGGAGGGGCTGCACTGACTGGCAGCTCCAGGGGCCAAACTGAGCAAAGCTCCCCAAAATTCGCCCCTGTGAGGGTGCGGGGCATGGGCTGGTTGCAGACCAGAAATGTGGTGAAAATGAGCACCTCATCCGCACGTTGCTGTCAAGCCCTGGGACATCCCCTTTGGCAGCTGGTGCCGGACCTGGGAGGGGATGGCTTCCCCATCGCTGCTCGTGGCCCGTCAGGAAGGACTCAACACGTTTCTAAGGCCTCCTCTTGGATTCCCACCGCCTCCCTGAGGCCACCCGGCCAAGCAGAAGCCACTTTAAGTGGCAGAGAGGTCCTCAAGGTGGAAAGTAGTGGCAGCCCCAGGTAGTTAACGCGTTTCCTTGGTCTCTTTTAGGAGCTACCTTTGGTTTGGGGGCAGTGTGGGTCCCTCACCATCCAGCTTCTATCTTGTGTGCACCTTTGAGCCCTTTCTTGGCCGGGGTCTTCAGCAGCCAAGTGTGACGTGTGACTGGTATTTTTACAGGTTTCCTGCTGTTATTACCATGTCTTACGCTGCTGCCAGCCTGTTTTGCAGTGAGCTGTGATAGGAAAGGACAGCAGCAAACACGGGTCGTGCTGGTTGCGTTGCCCAAGTGACAGACAAAAGCTCCGAGCTGCTTCCAGAGCCCCTCTCTTGCACCCCAGGCATGCCTCTCGCTTTCTTTGGTGTCATCTTCTCCAATGTGTCTTTTGCCAGCATCTCACATCTGGGCTTTGAGTGCTTGCTCCGAGCCGTCCCAGCTCAGTCTGAGGCCAAGGCTAAGTTGCTGCCATGTGTGTTTGTTGCTCAGTGTCCATGGTGATGTGGGGCTGGCACCCCCCGCTCCGTCCCGAGGGGGAATGGGGATCTGCTTTCCCATAAAACACCCCAATGTGTGTCCCGAGGCCTTAGCCACTTTAGCACACACTTTCTGTGGTGGAGTTAGCCTGCAATTCCTCTTGCTGTTCCTGGAAGGGACAACAGGCTTCCAGCGTGGAAGTAGGCAAGGCCCCAGGTCCTTCTTGTCCATCCATGTGTTGAGTTTTCTCTCGTTGACTGGACTCAAGAAGATGGTTGGAGTTTCTCCATGGGGTTCTCCGACTATTAGGCTGGTGGTCTCTGCTGTACCTGGTCTCTGAGCTGGGCTATGTGGAGCTGGGAAGGTGGGATGATGGGCTGGTGTTTTCCTGAGAGAGGAGCTGTTCTGAACTGCTTGGTTTCTTCTCTCCCTGCAGCTGATAGTTGAAAAGACAACTGACTACCCTTCGGCCGAGTACTCCCTGGTGGAGGATGTAGCCCTCCACTTCACGTGTTTGATGGACAGACTGAATGAGCAGCGCCTCTTTCAGCCGGACCTGTGCGACGTGGACATCGTGCTGGTGCAGCAGAAGAGCATCTTCCCAGCGCACAAGGGCGTCCTCGCCGCCTACAGCCAGTTCTTCCACTCCCTCTTCACCCAGAACAAGCAGCTGCAGCGCGTGGAGCTGTCGCTGGAGGCCCTGACCTCGCAAGGCCTCCAGCAGATCCTCAACTTCATCTACACCTCCAAGCTGCTGGTCAACTCCTGCAATGTGCAGGACGTGCTGAACGCGGCCGCCGTGCTGCAGATGAACAACATCGCCTCCTCCTGCCAGGACCTCCTCGACACGCGGTCGCTGAGCCTGGCCATGGCCAGCGACATGGCCCTGCCCGCCGAGGGCTGCGCCAGTGCCGTCCCGCCACCCTACTACTGCGAGATCAAGCAGGAGGTGGACGCCCCGCACCCCAAGATCTACGCCCGGGAAGGCAATGACCCCTTCTCGGTGCGTGTGGAGGACGGCGCTGGTGGTGGGACCCTCCCTGCTGTGCCGGCCAAGCAGTACTACAAGGAGGAGAAGGACGGCGGTGCGGCCGCCGTCTGTAAGATGGAGGGCGAGGAGTCCGAGGAGGACCTGGAGAGCCAGGGCTCGTACAACCGGGAGCAGATCATTGTGGAGGTGAACCTCAACAACCAGACCCTCAATGTCTCCAAAGGGATGGAGGGGAAGGCAGCTGCCAGCGAGGCTGCTGCCACCGCCGCCGCAGTCATGGGGCGGCCTGATGGTGATGGCCGTGACACTGAGGAGGACGGGGAAGAGGAGAACGAGGAAGGGGATGAGGATGAGGAAGAAGAGGAGGATGCGGAGGTGGGGGAAGAGGAGGAGGAAGAGCACAGTGAGGAGGAAGATCTAGAGGAGACAACGGAAGAAGAAGAGGAAGATGATGATGATGAAGATGCATCAGAGATGAAAAGGGAAAAGAGTGGGCAGGTCCGCAGAACTAGCCGCGCATCCAAAGCCGCCAAATCTGCCATGGCCACGAGGTCCCAGGAGATGGCCAAGGCGGAAGAAGAAGAAGAGGAAGAAGAGGAGGGCCAGCGAGGGAGGAAGAGAAAGAAGGAGCAGGATGGGTTGGGCCAGAAGGTGAAGCTGGAGGAGAAGCAGCACTACCCATGCAAGAAGTGTCCCCGGGTCTTCAACAACCGCTGGTACCTGGAGAAGCACATGAACGTGACGCACAGCCGCATGCAGATCTGCGACAAATGCGGGAAGCGCTTCCTGCTCGAGAGCGAGCTGCTCCTGCACCACCAGACCGACTGCGAGAAGAACATCCAGGTGAGACGGACCCCTGGTAGTCCATGGTGGGGGACCCCAGTGCCCAGGTAGCTCCTGTGGCCTCTTGGTGGCTGTAGAGCCTACCATAATGGTGAGGGTATTTTGGATGGGCTCAGAAGGTTGGAGGGGACCTTGCTTTGCACGTGACCTGGATTTGGGGGGCAGATGGTGAAGGCCAGAGTTGAGTCTCATGCACAAGGGAGGCATCATCATGGGACACAAGCAGAGCACTGTTGACAGTGATGTGCTTGAGTGGCTCCAGTGGCTGGAGAAGCTGTCATAGAGACAGACGTTTTTCAGGCAGTCCAGCTAAAAGTCGCAATCCAGCTAATCCAGTTGCAAGCCCCTAATGGGGACCCACTCCAGTAATTTTTACCCAAGTTTAAACCCATTTAGCTGAGTTGGAAAGATTTGCTGACAGGGGTTAAAGTGATTTGAGTCTGCTTTTTATTCCCTTCTGCTTGCACGTTAGCTAATTTCCAAGTGAGGCAAAGATGCTGGGAAACCCTTGTGTGGCTCAGGCTAGGTGTGGCCTCTACCTAAGGCTTTAATGAGATCCAGATCCGGACTTTTCAAAGCAAGTCAGTTAAAGCAGCGCAACCTTTCCGGGCCAGACAGGCTTTAGGTTTTTTCATTCCACAAAGAGGAATTTGTTGGCTGTTGCTGTTGCACTGTGGCACCGCAGGTGACCCAAAGCAGTCGGGAGCCAAGAAAAGTTTGATTTATTCTCCGCTTCCCTGGGCACGCTACAGGCGTCCTGGGGGAACAGCAAAACGCTGCATTCCTTCAGAATCCTCCAGCTAATCTTCTAATCCCTGCTGGACTCTTTTACGTGATGCTGTCACTGCTAATAAAAAAAATAATAATCTCCTGGAGGGCTTCACACATGACTCTGGTAGCAGCCAAGGGGTCTAGCTTTAAATGAACCCAGCTCTGATCTTTTAGCTCTCATGGACGAAGCAACGGTGTGGTTAAAGCTCTTGACCTCATCTGACTCAAATTTAATGGATAATGAAATTGGCCATCGTGGTGGTGAACATGCAGAGGGGGGAGTGATTTTGTTCGAGGCACTGTATCCCTAAGCATCATCTCATAGCCGAGGTGGCATCAGCGTTGCAAAGGGATCTGTGTGTTGTGTGCTCCTCTAATGTTGTCGCTGCTTGGAGATGCAGGCTGCCCTCATGTTTTGGAAGTGTCGGGAGATCTTTCTTCCAGGAGTGGCTCCCATCCACACGCTGTGGCAAGGACTCCCACGGGTTGAGCGTGCATCATGTCAAGGAATTGTTTTGTTGTGACTTTTTCCATCTTGTGATGTCCCCAGGCCTCATAATACCAAAGAATGGACCTCTGGGGAGCTTCTTCTTTGTGCTCATTATTTTATACCCATTGGGCACGTCCCGCCTTGGTCACTACTTTAGCAGATCCAAATGGATATGTTTTTACTTCCTCCAGAAGCCGTTTAATATCTCCTCTCATCCCGCTTCTCTGTACTTTTCTGGGTTTCTCCAAATCCTTTCTGAAGTCAGGAGCTCTCTCTGGATGCCCAGATCATTTCCCAAGCGCTGCTGAATGCGGTGAACTGGAGCTGCCTCCGTGGTGACCTCTCTCCCTGGAGAACATGGACCATTAACTTTCCTTTAGTCATGCTTTTTGGCTTCAGCGGTAGAGGCCAGATTCACTTTGCTTGTGCTGGTGGTGTTGAACGTCTTTATTTGCATAGCATGGAATTACAACCAGGCAGTAGAGTAAGCGACGTTTCTCTTTTGGGACTACACCTACAATGATCAGCCCTTATGGTTTGCTTTTAAGGAGGTATTTGTCCATGGAAGGACTTTCATGGGGAGAGACAATGCAGAAAGTTTGTGGAGAGACAAGTAGCCTCTACCTTCCTTGCCAGTGTGGTGCTGCTGCCTTTGAAGGTTTTGAAGGACCAGACTTCCCTGCCTTTTTTACAGTAAACCTTTTTTATCATGATTTGGTCTTTCTTAGAGTTTCCATCAGATTGCTGGGGTTTCAGGGCTATGTGTTTTCTCAAATTCTCCCTGCAGTCTGTATTTTAGAGAATATTAGAGGTCAGGTTTCCTGACCTCTGTTTCTCTAGGGCCAACACAGTCTTCAGCTACCTGGTGCAGCGAAGAGCCGGGCTCCTTTGGAAAGTTTGCATGAACGCTGTTTGGGTCTGAGGATGCTCATTTGCAGATTTGACCCAAAATCTTGCCCGCTGTGCTTCAGTTTTTCCCATGTGAAAACAGGGAGCTTGCCCCAGGGCTTTATTTCATTTGAAGGTCTCTCTTTTGCCACCACCGTCTGTAGGCCCTGACCTCCTTCATGGGCTTCCTGATTCTGCTGCCTGGAAGAAAAGGCTTTAGCGTTCGCTTTTTGTGCTTTTATCAAGTTTCTCAAAATCTTTTTTGGCCTGTTTCAGCGTGGTTTTCCTCTTACCTTGCCAAAATATATCTTTTTTTCTTTTTCCCATCGTTTTGGTATTACTTCACTGTTTCTGGATGCCGCTTTCATTGTTTTGATGGCCTCTCTCACCACAGAGCCTTCAGTCCCTCAGGATTTTCTGTGGCTCTGATACGATTTGCTGATTGACCTGGTTTAACTCTGAGCTTTTTAATTTATGACCCTTTACAGTGTATCCTCCATTTCTCTTCCATCCTCTCTGTGTTAAATTGTACCTTGATATCATAGGACACTGGGTATCTTCACAACCTGAGCATCTCTATATCGCCACCACAAAGGTGGTGTTCCCATTCCTTCACTTTATCTCCAGGCTGCCTCTTTGATACATAACTATGAGTCTGTATTGGGTTGAGTTTGCCATTTTTTGGTGCCTACTTTGTCAGCTTCTGCCTGCTCCTTGCTCTGGGATATAGGGCTTTTCCCCCAAGGATCCTCCGTTTGTCTTTGATACCAAACGTGGCTTCTAAGTTTGTCCTGAAATGCCTCCTAAAGCAGAGAGAAAACTCTTTGGATGCATAGAAATATCCATGTAGTGACAATAAAACTCAGTGGACTATTCTGGTTAATGTTAAAGTGCTTTGGAATTAAGAAGCTGGGAGCTGGGAATGCCTCCCTCACCCTCATTTTGCTGCTTAAGCACCTAAATTTTAACATACCCATAAAAACTGGAGCAAACCAATGTAAGAAACTGTAATCCTACAGGCATGCAATTAGAAGTTGTCCAGTTACATGCCAGTAGAAGGGAAATCTGTCATCGTGGAGGCAAGCACAGTGCCAGCAGCACTTTACTTTTCAGGACTCAGTTGCAGCCCAAGTTGCTGCTTTTCCCAGGGGAAAAAAATATATATTTTCAGAGAAATATTTAGCTTGATTGGAAGGGAAGCAAATCTCCAATGCAACTTTGTAGGTGCAGGAGACCACAGCACTGTGCCTTGGTGCAAGTGAAGAGCTTGGGCAGCATGAAATGCATGAGCCAAATGGGGAAGCCAGGAGACTTGGGGTTGGAGACGTGGGGTTGTCCCCACTCCCCCTGTGTCTGCAGCGACACTGTGCAAATGCTCAGACACTTTGTGTGCTGCTTTTGATGGATGGAAGATGCTTTTGGAAAATGACTTTTTTGCAAAGTAATTAAGAAGTTGCACTGTCTACCTACCCCAGCTTGTTCCCATGTGCTTTGCAGCCGTGTGCTGACACATGGAGCTTTCTTGGATGTAGTATATAAATTGTATGAAAGTGTAAAATTCCCATATGGGAAGAGGACTGTAGGCAGTGAGCTGCTATTTATGCAAGTTTTATGCATCTGTTCCTGGAAAGGCTGTGGTCTTCCCTGAAAATACATCACTTGCCTCTCCATCTGATGAAGACAGTTGGGTTTTGGAAGTTTTGAAGTCACAAGGTCTGTAGGAAACTTGTTGGAACTTGTTGATTATTACGTTCAATGTCTTAGCTTTAGTTGTTTAGAAGTTTTGTGATGAGCTTCCTTTTCATAATCTTCTCCTATTTTATCAGAGAACAAAACAAAACAAAAAGACTGTTTTAAAATCAACAAAGCTGAAATATTGGCAATACCTCAACGTTTGGCCAGGCTTGAAAGAAGATGTTTCTTGGACTCATCAAAAATGCCCCGTGACACTTTCCACCTCCTGCAACCTCCGTGGCCCCGTTTGTTGTTGTTTTTGTTGTTGTTGTGCTCTGGCCTCCCTGCCTCACTCGCCTCTCTCGTTGCAGTGTGTGACGTGCGGGAAGGGGTTCAAGAAGCTCTGGTCGCTCCACGAGCACAACAAAATTGTCCACGGCTACGCGGAGAAGAAGTTCTCCTGCGAGATCTGCGAGAAGAAGTTCTACACGATGGCCCACGTGCGGAAACACATGGTTGGTGAGTGAGGTGGGACGTGCCAGCGCTGGCCTCCAGCACTCAGCATCGTTTGCTTCCTAATTACTAGATCCATCTCACCCAACCTGAGGTCATTGATCACCCTCAACTCCTCCACTGGCACTTGCAGAGACAGACACCCTTGGAGACCAAGTCTCAGTGGCTTTAATAGCCCTCTGAAGAAGCCTCTCATCTGATGACTGATAGACTCAACTCGTCTTTTCTGCTCCAGCTCTCTTTTGCTGGAAATAAAGCAGCTTCTCGTTCATTCAGTTATGTGGGTCACGGCTGCGAGGGTTTGCTTGGCCCCATAAGGAAACACGGGCAGCTGGGAGCTCTCTTTAGGGATATGCATTTCTCGTTTCAGCAATTAAGGGCATTTTTCAATCACTGTCACGTTGGGAATTTAGGGCTGGAATAACTCTTGGGTGAATTTTCTTCACATCAAAGCCAAAGCCTGGAATTTTGGCATGAGCCCTGAAATAGGAAGATGACTTTTTTTTTTTTTTTACCCTGTGGTGCTTGGTATTTAATGTTGAACGTATGTCTGCCTGGTTAGCTATTTTTGGAGTAATTTGCTACTGTAGAGCAGGCGTGGCACTGGGGAATCTCATCTATTTTATGTAACTGGGAGAGAAAAAAAAAAAAAAAAGGAAATGATCAAAGGATGATTTGAATGTAACCATCTTTCCCTTAGAAAAGAGGACAAGCCCTTAGCAGTGTTGGGCTTTGAGAAGGATATTGCGCAGCAGTGGCACGTGGTGACGTTGGCTGTGCCTGGAATGAGTCTCTGACTGCAGCTCACAGGCGGCACCAAAAAGGCCAAAAAAAAATGGGATTCTGGCAGACAACGGGGAAGTGCCAACAATGGGATTGCTTGCAGGAGAGGCGGGGAGGACATGGGGAGGGCGGCGTAGGCGTAATGCTGCTCTGCTCCCTTCCAGCTCATACCAAGGACATGCCGTTCACATGCGAGACATGCGGGAAGTCCTTCAAGCGCAGCATGTCCCTGAAGGTCCATTCGCTCCAGCACTCCGGGGAAAAGCCCTTTAAATGTGAGGTAGGTGATGGTTTTGGTGAAGGGTGGTTCGGGCTGGCCATGTTTTAGGGCAGCCGGAGCACACTGAGTTGGGCGGAAAGTTCCTCACCCTTCCCATGGAGCTTCCTTCCAAATGGAGGCACAAGTCTGATTTTAGGATAGATCTTCCCCTTTTTGGGGCATCCCAGAGCGATATTTTTCAGCAGCAGTAAGGATGTTTTCCCTGTCCCATCCAAGCTTTACATCTCTTTGGGTCTTTGGGGCCTCACCAACCCTGTGAATCAAACTGCTCCCTCTGGGTGACATCTGGTGATAGCAGGATCTGCTCCTCCCTCTAGTGACTGGACAACATATCACACCCAAAAACCACCCGTTCTTTAAGATTGGAGCCCAATTTTGTCTTCAGCTGCTAGGATTAGAGTAGTCTTGGCCCCAGCTGACCAGGGTTGGGCGATCAAGGTGCAAAAGGCATCTCCAAGTGCCAATGGTACTGAGGGCCATGGTGTCCAATCCAGCATGGACTAAGTGCTTCCTTAAAGTCTGGAGGAAGACAGAGGTCCGGAATATATCCCCCAAAAGCTCTGTATTAGAGCTTTTTCAGAAAAAAAAAAAGAATCCAGTGATGCTTCAGCTGGTGGCTGAAGATACCATGAGCAGATGGGGTAGGTGGTAGGTGCTTTAGATGCCAGATGGGGAGGGAGCAGATTGATGTTCAAGCCTCTTTTGTGCCACCAGCTGCTTCTTTGGCCATGCACAAGTCTATGAGGGCTCAGGTTTTGGTCGTGTCCCTAAGTAGGAGTAGAAAAATGGAGTGAGAGGGCATAGTTGGTACATCAGATGAAGATCCAGCTCATACCCGGTCAGCATGAGGCTGCTGGGATGAGCAAGACTTATCCCATGGGGGTCCCAGGGCCGGGTGTCACTGACGCTGGTGCTCCTCCATCAGAACTGCAACGAGCGCTTCCAGTACAAGTACCAGCTGCGCTCCCACATGAGCATCCACATCGGCCACAAGCAGTTCATGTGCCAGTGGTGCGGCAAGGACTTCAACATGAAGCAGTACTTCGACGAGCACATGAAGACGCACACGGGTGAGCGCTCCCCGGGGCGGGGAACGGGTTCCTCCTCTCCCTTCCGTGCACCGGGTGGGACGGGGCTGACGGTGGTGGCCCTTCCTCACCCGCTTCTCCCCACGCTGCAGGCGAGAAGCCCTACATCTGTGAGATCTGCGGCAAGAGCTTCACGAGCCGCCCCAACATGAAGCGCCACCGGCGGACGCACACGGGCGAGAAGCCCTACCCGTGCGACGTGTGCGGCCAGCGCTTCCGCTTCTCCAACATGCTCAAGGCCCACAAGGAGAAGTGCTTCCGCGTCAGCACGCCCTTGGCCTCGGACACGGCGGGCGCCGCCGCCAACAGCAGCCTGGCCGCCCCGCAGCCGCCCGCCGCCTCGCCGCCCGCCCTGCCCCTGCTCCATCCCCTGCCACAGAGCCTCCCTCCTCCTCCTCACCTACCGCCGCCGCCTCCGCTCTTCCCTGCCGCCGCCGGCAGGGTCAACGCCAACAACAACTAGGGCCAGGCCGCCCTCCGGATAGCGCCTTTGCCGCGGAGCCCTCTCTGCCCCTCTTCCTCCTGGTTTTGGGGTTGTGTTGGGGTTGGCTCTTTATTGAGTTTTATCTTGTTTTGTATTTTTTTTGCCTCTCCTTGAGGAGTGGGGAGGAAGGGGCCGTGCGGCGTCTGTCAATAAGGGTGTAGATAAAAGGCGTTGCTCAGCCCCAGCTTTCACCCTGCATGAGGTCCTTGCTGGGCAAGCAGGTTGGGAGACGTCCAGCCAAAGGTTCTGGCTCGCTGTCCTTGCGACCTAGGTGGACATCCCAACCACCGCCACCCATCTCCCCATGGATCGTCTCCATCTCCACGGCCCACAGAGACAGGAGGTGTTGTCCGAGACCAGCTCCAGCCTGGATCTGGCTTGGAGGAGAGCATCAAGGGGAGGACCCCAGCCCTGGAGCGGATGGAGAGATTGGTGGCAGCACATGCCCGCTCACTAGTCTGCTGCCTGCAAGCTCTTCAGTATTTATAAGGAACAGAAATCTAGTTAGTGGTGCTCGAATTGCCGTACTGTAAAGCTGGTCTTTCAATTAGGCTCTTTAGGAGGGTTATGGTCCACAGAGGAATTATTTGTTTATGGTGCCAAGCCAGCACAGGAGGAGTTGGTTCCACTTGTGGTCCCTCATGGTGGGGAAGTTCCTGAGGACAGGCGTGCAGGTAGGCTGCTCTCCTTAGCATATCACATCTTCCTTCCCTGTGTAAGGTGTTTCTCCCCACCATAGATTTGGTAGACGACAGCACAAGCCATCGTTAGGCCAAATTAGCAAACTGCATCCGGGCATGTTGGCATCCTGCCATCATTTAATTCCTGGTATGCCCAGAGGAGATCAGGCTCCAGTGTCAGCTTTCTGCTTATCCCAATTAGATCTGGTGTTTTTAGGGACGCTCAGGTGTTTGCAGCACTGCCCTGGTGGAGCTCAGTTGGGTTTTGAGACTGAAAGGCAGGTGGGTAGGTTGCTCTGCAGGAACCTCAGATGAAGCAGCGGGATGTTGCGCAAGGCTGAGGTTTCTCGAGAGAATCAGTCCAGAATAGTGCCTTAACAAATTGAGTAAGTGTCTGTCCAACGAGCCTTCTCCAGGTGTTTGCTGGGAGTTGTCACTCGTGAACTTTCTAAGATGGATCTCATTGCAAGGATTAGAGCTCAAGCATCCTGTCCCTAAATGTTTTGCCGTGTCAGAACAGTCTATGCAGCTCTCCCAAGCTTTGCATTTCCACCAGGGTTGTGACATTGGCAGACAGTGCTCTCCTTGCCTGTGGTTTGGCTGATACAGGATGTTTCTGGTGCAGCGAGGACCTTTGGGAGACCAGAGGAACCTGGATTGCCCAAGCCTTGTTGGAGAGTGCTGGGGTTGATTCAGTCAAGCCCCACAGCATTGACTAGCATCTCTGTGGCCACATTGTTCTTGGACACTCCTCTTCCTATGTGCTGAATGATGGTGAGGCTGAGCTGGTCTTTGACTTCACTAATTCAGACTTGCCCTGTGCAGGCCAGGTAAGAGCAGAGAAGCTGTGGTCTCAAGTGGCTGTCACCTGGCTGGGGAGGAAAGTCCAGGAAGGCTTTGCTGATTTTATTTTGTTTTGTTTTGTGTTTTTTGCTGCTGTTGGATGCTGTGATATACGTTGGCTCTCCTGCTGCTATGATTTTCCCTAGGTACAGCACTAGTCTAGCCCCAACTGTGTAGTGTCACTACAGTTGCCTTCATGAGCACCCAAGGACAGGTTGCCTTTGGAGCTGGGCGTTTGGGACCACTGCGGGAGCTGCAGAGCATCTTGGAGGAGAGAGCTGAAGACCAAGACATTTGAGATGTGTCATTTGTGATTGCTGTGTGAGATGCTTTTCAGCCAATTCAGCAAAGCACTTGGGCACCATTTAATTGCAGAGCCGGGAGGATTTAGCCACATCTCAAGTGTTTTGCTGAAGGAGGATGTACAGGAGTGTGTGAGTGAATGGGAAGGGACTGCTGGCTGTTCCTGTGAGTGATGTTTGAAGTGACAAGTTAGGTGACTGGTGTCCTGTTGAGTGCACCAAATTCCATCTCTCATGCTTAGCCCTCTCTGCAAGGCTGACTGCTCTTGAGTTGTTAATGTTTTATAGGAACAATTTGTTTTTCATCCTTACGAGTCCATCGTGTTGGCTGGGGTTCTCTGGAGCCCCAGTGTTGCAGTCAGTCTCTGGATGAGTGAGTTCACGCTCACATCCATTTTGTGCAAAGGGAGAAGGCTGTGACTGAGTTGCTTGGAGGTATCTTATCTTCTCAGATGGGTCCCAAATGCTCCTTTGCTGCCCCTTTTCCATGCATGCGCTGGGATTTATCAGGATGGTGCAATGCCTTTTGAAATGCACTCCACTCCTGTGAGGGACTTGGACATTCAGCTGCAAGGGCTGTTGGCATCCTGGAGGGTGAAGAACCCAGCCTGGGAGACAGTCACTTTGGAGGAGCTTTCTTCAGAGCTGTTGGAGGGTTTCAGTAGAGTAGTCCAACTCATCTCTGCTGCCTCCCAGATCCCATCCAGTGGGGCTCCCTACCATTTCTTTTCCCTCACCCTCTTTGCATTTGAGACCAGATAGGAACCATGCACTATGAGAAAGGTTAAACTTGCCTGTACAGTCTTCATTTTGCGAGACTGTCAGCTTGCCCAGCTGGTAAACTTGGCCTTCTCCTTTACCTGCACATGCTGGTGCGAGTATATCCCCACACCAACAATTACCCCATAATTACTGCTTATCTAAAGCCTTTCCCCTGTCCTCAGTCCTTCCTGTCTCTGCAAGGGCTGGTCCCACTTGGACATCACCGTGAGATGAGAGATCCTCCTTGAGGCTAACGGCATCGTGGTCGCTTTGGAGAGGAGCAGTGGGAGGGAGCACTTGCTGGTACTCATCCCGCAGCAGCTTGCACCGAAAGCCCAGTGACTGATTTGAGCCACGTCTAAACATCTTTGAGACCCTGCCCGGAGAGCTGCTTGGAGACGTTGAGATGTGACCATGCACACAGCACTTTGGAGAACCAGATCCCTGCTGCTCCCTCCCCTACTCCAAGGCCTGGGCAGCTCCTACGTGGCCTCTGAACCCTTTTGTCTACACCCTTATTCAGTCCCTGTGTGTCCTCTGATGTCTACTTTTTGTTAATGTATTAAGACCTGAAAACAGTCACTCTAGCAGTGTCTTGGCCCAGAATCAGACCCCACTGGCACCTGTTGCATTAGGGTGGGAGGCAGGGGGAGTTGGGTCCTGTTGTTTTCAAGCTCTTTATATTTTATTTTTTAACTCTTGCACCTTAATCTCTCACATCCCTTCTTCAACAGACCATGAGGGTGGAGAGGGGCTTTAATTTCCATTATGCAGTCGACAAATACCCTGCAAAGCAACGTTCAGCTGACAGCTGTGCCCACACGCTACCCCCGACCCTTTATTATATTTTTCTTCTTCTTTCCCCTCTTTGGTTGAACTCTGGGGAGGGAGGGAGTCGCGCGTGGGGGTGGTTTTTTGTTTTATATATCCCAGGAGCCTGGTAGCACAGACCAGTTTGCCTCAGTGTCCATGAGGCACGGCTGGCCCCTTCGGACCACAGCCATAACCTGAGCGCGTCGGGAAAGGAGAGGGATGGACGTCGAGTGGAACCGGCTGTGACAGTGCAATAGAGATTAGCATCCGCTGCTAGACAACTCCACTGGTTTGACTCTCGGTTTTGCCAGAAGTCGGGAGGGAAGGACGGACGGGCGGACGCCCTCGGTTCACACGGACAGAGGCAGCTTCCCCCGCACAGCCCTGCCTGGTGGCACGTGGACACGGTGGAGTTGGGCAGAACTTAAATAGGAAGAGAATTTTAACAAGGAAGCAAATAGGAGCAACCTCAATAGCATGGAACTTGAAGGAAAAAAAAAAAAAAAGAAACCCCAAGCACTTGCCTCAAAACTAGTTTCTCATGCCTGGTATTTGGCTCTGTATTATTTTCCGGCGTTCAGTATCGGTTGCCCAGACATGCCAAGTTAAGAGTGTATCGGTGGCTCTACTAGTGTGAACAAAATGAAGCACTTTATTCTGTATAGATAAGGGAAGGCGGGGAGGGAGGGGAAGCTTGGATGCTTTTCGGAAGCATCTTAAGTAATGTTCTAGGAAATGTATTATTATTATTATTACTTTTTTTTTTTATGACCATGTGTAATCAATATATGTTTATCTTCAAGTACAGCAGTTACTCTCTTTGGGATGGTGTGATGAAGGGGAGGGTGCGACGGCCGGGTTAGTCCATCGGAGGGGAGCCCCTGGGGAAAGGCCCTGCCTACCACAGGAGCAAGTCTAGTTAGCTAGTTAGTCATCCAGGAGGTCCCAAGAGCTGCATCAAGGCTGCCTTCAAGGGCACAGCTCACAGATGGTCTCAGTACCAGGGCTGGGATGGCCAGTGCCCTGCACTTCTCCATCCCCAGCCAGCTTCTGCTTGATGGTGCTGAGGCTGCTCTGAGATAAGCCACGATGGGCTGTTTTCATGTGTCCCTGTGCCCACGGCCATGCTCTGAAACCTGCTTTTGGCCTCTTGCCAAGCACATTGGGGTTGCTGAGCTCTGAAGTTGATGAGAGGTCAGGATTAGGCCTTTATGCTGCCTTCTCCCAGTCTGGTAGTGTTACGACTGTTACCAAAGAGGTTGCAAGCGGAAGGACTGAATCAATAAACGATTTGTCTTTTATAAAAGAAAACCTAAAGCTCCACTGCTTTCTTTATTACTTTGTTTTTCTAGAAATTCTCTTTTCAGATATTTGCAAAGGGCATAGCAGTGCAGCAGGATGGACTTCCTAGGGCATATTCCCAGGAGGTGTTTCCCTCATATGCGCAGACCTGATGTTGGTTTTGGTGAGAGATGTGTGCATATGAGCCAGGGGGCCAACTGAAAAACAGCATTTCTAGGGTGGGTGATTCTTGGGTGAAGGAAGGGGCCTTGGGATTACAGCCCCAGGAGCACCACGAGGCTGAATCCATGCTTCTGCATGGCATTTGGACAGCCTACATGAAGGATCTCCTCTGCAGGCAAGGCAGAGCTCATGGAGTCTATTTGAGAGGACCCAATATTGACTTCAAATGGAGCTGTGGGATACTTGCCAGCTCATGTCAGCACCTATTTGAGGAACCTAATGGAAGAAGAAAGGAACTTCCCCCACCAGCAGGGAGGTATCTGCTCTTTTGCAGCTAGCATTGCCCAGAAAAACACCCCCACAGGACTATCAGTGAAGCCAGAGGTGCCTTTTGACTGATGGTATCACACTGCGTCTGGGACTGTGCAGTCATCATTGTGTTCTGGGAAATGCCTACGGTGACTTGCTGAATCTTCATGGTGGCTTTTCTTACCTGGGATCACCTTTGGAATGAAGCAACCGCTTGGCAAGAAGCTAGTGAGTGTCCCTGGGCAAACTTGTGCTTGGTGGTGTGCAGTTTTTCTGGCTGCCCTTGGGCAGCTGGGCTTTGAATGGCAACGGCACCAAGCTGCAGGTTTCAACAAATCCTCCCTGCCACCATTTGTGGAGACAATTTTCTGTTTTGCCTCCAGTAAGAATTGCTAAAACTCTTGTCTTGCAGAAAATCAAAATGATATCTATCTCCCACCCCAAAATCATCTACCCAAAATGATGATCAGTCAAAAATTCCCATTCGCAATTGGAGAAGTTGTGGGCAGAACCACAAAAGAGGGTAGAAATGCCACCCGTTCGCCAGCCTTTTTAAGACGGCTCTCTGCTACATGTGATAGTTTCATCTCCCGTTGACCTGAGAGTCATCTGTGGGAAATCTTGTGGGACTGAGAACATGATCATTCTGCAGTGTGTTTTCATATATTTGGTGATTTTGAAGTTTTTTTTTTYTTTTTTTTTTTCTTTTTTTTTTTTAAGCTAGCCTATCCCAGCCAGGCTGTTACCTTGGGTTTATTTTTCTTTAAATATTACTTATTTATTTTTCTTTAAATATTAGGTAAAAATATTTTGTGGCTGCTCCAATATGATTGTCCTCTAAGTGATTGTCCTCTAAGTCCTCCTCTTTTTTTTGTCGTTTTCCTTCCTTTTTCTCTCTCTTTCTCTTTCTCTCTCTTTCTCTCTTTCTCTCTTTCTCTCTTTCTCTCTTTCTCTCTTTTCCTCTTTTTTCTTCTTTCTCTTTCTTTCTTTTCTTTCTCTTTCTTTCCTATCTTTCCCTTTCTTCCCTTTCTTCCCTTTCTTCCCTTCTTCCCTTCTTCCCTTCTTCCCTTCTTCCCTTCTTCCCTTCTTCCCTTCTTCCCTTCTTCCCTTCTTCCCTTCTTCCCTCCTTTCTTCCTTTCTTCCTTTCTCTTCTTTCTCTTCTTTCTTTCTCTTCTTTCTTTCTGTTCTCTCTTTCTCTTCTTTCTTTTTTCTTCCTTCTTTGGAATCCTTAAAATGAAAACAGGATGAGATTCTACTTCTTAATCCTGATAGTTTCCTCTTGCAGATGTGGCATAGTTTCTCCAGGAATGTATTCTGAAGAGGACAACCAAATAAGCCAGATGTGATTTTTTTTTTTTAATGAAAATAGATGTTCTATGCTGTTTTGGAGGTGTTATTTTGGAAGTTTTGTATGTGTTTTTTTTCTTATTGATTACCCTCCTTGCTCCTGGAATCATGAGATCCTGGTGGTATCAGGCTTGCTTTTCTCTTCCTAGGTAATCTGCTAATCCTTGTATCTGCAGAGAAAAGCTTCAGGAATGTGACTATTATGGTTAAGTCCAAAGAGGGGAAAAAAGAAGAAGAAAAGCTGTGGTCGTGTCCAGAGCAGCAGGCAGAGGGGCCTGCGAGGCTGTGCACGTTGGGGGACACCAGGGGACATGGAGACGGTGACTTTGACTTGTGCATGACTCAGTGGAGAGGGTTTAGGAGCAGTGAGATCCATGAAGGGAGATTTTTGGTCATGTTTCTCTGTAAGCTTTTTCAGGAAAGAGGTGAGGAAGTGATATATCCTCAGGGGACACCAGGTTTAAGAGGTACCTTCCCCACCATCCCTTTCTTATCCTCCTTTTGCCTGGTCTTTATGTTTGGTTGCTGCGGACAGGCGTTTACAGCTCTATCAATAAACATGCACGGATGATTTTTTTCCCCATATTTTAATAATTTAATTTTAAATAAGCCACAGTTTGGATGGTGCAGATATCAGGAGTTTTTCTCTCTAGCAAGTCTTTGTCTTGCTGCCAGGGTGGTTATCTTTCCATCAAAACATCATTACAGATTACTTAAAAAAAATCAGTAGGAAACTTTTTTTGAACAAAACACATTTGAAATCTCCACGTACTTTGCAAACTAGGATATTCTTTAAAAAAAAAAAAGTGAAATGACATAAATATAAAAACTTTCCCCAAGAAACAGCTTTTGTGCAGCCAAAGATGAGGACATTGCAGCCTGTGATTGAAGGTGGAAAGGGTGCAGCTCTGCTGGATCAGCCCAAAAACGAGGTGATGAGCTCACATGGCCTCTCTCCCACCTACCCCTCTGCTTGCACACCTCCTTCCATCCTCCAGCCTCAGCAACTATCTATTGCCTCGTATTGCCCGCCTCCTCAGTCCAAAGACCAGATGGAGACAGAGGAGCTACCTTTTTTCCCTTGCATTGCCATATCCAAGGCATTTCTCCCACCCATGCACACATGCTCTTTTCTTTTTACTGTCTTGCTCCAACAACCATCATCCATCTGGAGGTCGAATCCTCCAGGAATCCTTCGTCTTGTAATCCCCTCCAAGCCAAGTCCCCCAAGAACCACTTGCCTTTGCCTCTGTTGTCCTCTTCCTCTCAGAGGAGGCGTCTGGAAACACTACTTAAAGCTACTTTAAGTGGGAAAATTCATTAGAGAAAGGAGAGAAGAAGCTGGAGAAATAAGTGGAACGAGAATACAGACTTTTGTCTTGCTTACAGAGACTGGAGAAGGTCTTTGCTCCATGTTTATTATTCTATCCCCAGCTCCTTGCAGTCTCCAGATCCCCTCTAGATATACTGTGGTTCACCTCCCATAAAGCTTCAAGATGAGTTTTCTCCTTTCCTGGCTGGCTAGATAAAATGGTAAATATCAATCACAGATGCAATGTCCTACGCTGTGTGCAGAGAATCCCTGCCACATTCCTCTGCTGATAGGCATGAACTCAACCCCCTCGCCTTGCTGCTGCTCCCTACTTATCCCAGAGCTCCATGGAAAAAAATGATCTGCGCCTCGTTACATCTTGGTTAGCCGCAAAACGTTGAGGCGCACGGGAAGGAAGGTGGCACCAGAAGCGTACTGGATCTCTCGGAGGACCCCTTCCCACTTCTTCTGTTCTTCGTCGTACCTGAGGAGAGGCAAACAGAAGGTTGCAGTGAGCGAAGCTTCTCATCTTCCCCCTTCAGCAGCTCTTTGCAGCAACGGGAGCTCCTGGTGTGTGGTTCCATGTCCTACGATTGCCATTTGTGGGAGCCTAGCTCTAATTTATTAGCACAGGAGTAGGGTTCAAGGTAGTGGTCACACAGCAGAGGGGGGGTCTTTTTCCCGTAGGATTGATGCCACCAAAAGTCAACATCCATGGGTGCTGAATCCATGACCAAAAGTCAATCTAATCACATTTGATGCCTGTGGAGGTTGCTCTGGAGCCACAAAAGTGAAGGAAAGGGGTGTTAATGCTGTACTAATAGCTGTCAAAAGTGGATTGTGACCATTCGCCTGGTCTCACCTAAGATAATTCGATTTCTAAACTGAGTGCTGGCTTTTTACAGAAAGAGTGTGCTTTGCTCTAATACTGCTTTAAGCCAAAGGGGAGGTGAGAACCAGCTCAGGGCAAAATGTCAATTCAAGAAAAATCTTAAGAGTCAGATTTTTCCAGTTATGTTTCTCTGCCAGGGGGAAGAGATCATTAAATCAGCTAATGTGACCTCCAGCACAGCACAGGGCTCAATCAGAGACCCTGTGTCAAGCCTGAGGCTTTGTGTTGGGGTAAATGCACTTGGTTTCACACCAAAGGAATTAAGGACGAAACTATCTATTGCCTTGCTCACTGAGTAGCCACCCTCCCATCCTGTCCTCCCAGGGATAGCCACAGGAAAGATCTTCACCTCCAGACGTCATTCAGCTCAGTGGGCACCAGCTCTCCTGACTCCGTCTCCACCGTGGCGAATCCCCCGAGCAGGTAGAGCACCCCAGACAGGCTCACCAGGCTGACCGAGCTGCGCTCCTGGGGGAAGTCCGTGAAGGTCTCCCACCTGCCGAGTTGAGAGACCAGACGTGTTATATTCGAGCAACCTGCCTATCCTTCTAGTGCAAAAGCTAGACTGAAATTGCTAGCCAACAACTGAATTGACCATTCTTTGGTCGTGCTTTGACACATCTCTTTCCATCTTCTCAATTTAACCTCATTTTGCAAAGAATAGATGATCCATGAAGCACACCTCACATGGACCAGGAGCTGCTGGGGAATGCAGTGCAGCTTCATGGCCCACCTCCATTGTGTCGAGTGATGCTGCTGAGAGGAAATCACGGACGGTGTGCTATGCTACGTACTTGTTGGACGCAATGTCGTACACTTCCACCGAGTTCGTTAAGCCAGAGTCGGTCACACCAGCTGCCACGTAGATTTTGTCATTGTGCACGGTGGCTCCGAACAAGGAACGGGCAGTTTTCATGGGCGCCAGCTCCTTCCACTCAAACTTATTCGGGTTGTAGACACACATCTTCTTCAGACACTTCCTATGGAAAGACAGGAGAGAAAGGGCCTGGTACATTTGCTTGGGGGCCTGGAGACATCATTTGTGTGCAGATCATTCCTCCTGCATGTGCCTGCTCTGGGTAGAAATACTGAAAGCTCAACATTGCGCTCACACAACTGGGTCAGGACCTGTTGAGCCAGCCGCCTATCTGAGACCTTGCCAGATGATGCTCAAAAGCCGCTGATTCAGCCTGATGCTGCAAAATGTCAACAATAAAATCCTCCTTCCCTGTGATGGCAGCGTAAGGTATGTGTGTGTGCATGAATGTCTGTGCACACATACACGCACGCACACATTTCTCAGACTTTTATCGTCCCAGAGCAGGGCTTATCTTTGCTGGATTATGCCGTGTTTGCTCTGCAAACAGGCACACGTCTGTCTTGCAAAGCAATCACTGTAACATTCACTGCGAGTGGCAGTTTCTGCTGAGTCACCATCTCCTGCCAGAAAATGATGGATGGCAGGTCTAGGGTCAAGTCCGGTGAGGTTTTCGACTGCTGTTGCAAACACACTGGCTGCCTTTGGCTCCTAGGCCCATGCTGCTCCATGGCCACTCTCTAGTCTTGAAGACAAAAAAGTCTAAATCCGGAGGAGGTTCTTGCACCTCACAGAATCACAGAATGATTAAGGTTGGAAGGGACCTCTAGAGATCATCTAGTCCAACATCCCTGCTAAGACACTAGAGCACATGGCACACGGTGGCATCCAGATGGATTTTGAAGATCTCCAGAGAAGGAGACTCCACAACCTCCCTGAGCAGCCTGTTCCAAGACTCTGTCACCCTCACAGTAAAGAAGTTCTTCCTCATATGGAGGTGGAACTTCCTGTGTTGCAACTTACATCCATTACCCCTTGTTCTGTCATTGACCACCACTGAGAAGATCTTGGTCCCTTTCTCCCTACATTCTCCCTTCATGTACTTATACATAAGTATAAGTGAGAGGCTGAGAGGCTGAGTGAGCTGGGCCTGTTTTCTCTGGAGAAGAGGCGGCTCAGAGGGGATATGATTAATATGTATAAGTTCAGGAAGGGAGAATGCAGGGAGGAAGGGGACAGGCTGTTCTCACTGGTGGCCAGCGATAGGACGAGGGGTAATGGCCACAAGCTGAAACACAAGAAGTTCCGTCTCCAGGTGAGGAGGAACTTCTTTACTGTTAGGGTGACAGAGCAGTGGAACAGGCTGCCCAGGGAGGTTGTGGAGTCTCCTTCTCTGGAGGTCTTCAAAACCCGCCTGGATGCCACCCTGTGCCACATGCTCTAGGTGTGCCTGCTTGAGCAGGAAGGTTGGACTAGATGATCTGTAGAGGTCCCTTCCAACCTTAAATATTCTGAAATATTCTGAAATTCTGAAACATATTGATCAGGTCCCCTCTCAACCTTCTCTTCTCCAGGCTAAACAGGCCTAGCTCTGTTAGTCTTTCTTCATAAGATAAATGCCCTTAATCATCTTTGTTGCCCTCCACTGAACCCTTTCTAGAAGTTCCACAATACTGGGGAGCCCAAAATTGCACCAAATGCTCCAGGTGTGGCCTCACCAGAGCTGAGTAGAGAGGCTTGCTCATTGTGAGCAAGCTTGCTCTCTGGTAAGGGCAGTGTCATCTTTCTGATGTTACTTCTGTTGTGCAGGGCTCCTAAGAGCAGAGCTGGGCTGAGGAATGAAGATACCACATCTTGTACCCCATCCAATCTTTCTTGACCCATTTGTTCCATCCACCCCATAGCCTTCAGGCTAGGTAAGCATGGATTCATGCTCTGGATTCCCTCTGCTTTAGAGAATGATACCCTGAATATCGCTGGATTTCACTTGCTTTTTTACTTACTTGTCACTTCCTTTGCCGCCGATCACATAGACGAGGTCTTTGTGCGATACCACAGCATGACCGTAGACTGCATAGGGAAGAGAGTCGGCTTCACCCCACTTGAAGGACCTGGATAAGGAAAAGATGGGATGTGAAAGGATTCTTAGCCTGCTGGTGTGATCCAGAATACAGAGCACTTTCCAGACCTAAAGATGAGGGCAGACGCTGGCAAATCGAAAGTGCAGTCTTAAAAATATCAGGCTTTCCAATACAATAATATTCAATTAGTAAATACTGTGATCCAAAAAAAAAAGGGGGGAGGGAATAAAATTATATACAGAATGCTTATAATAATGCTCATCTTTTCCACAGCATCCTTTCTATCTTTGTGCATGCCCACCATTCATATCCCTCGTTTGCAAGAACTAGCAGTCAAATGCAAGTGAGACAGAGATCTCTGCATTATGTAGAAAATAAAAATCTGTAGGACTGAGAGGTGACAGTGAGTTTCTTTTTTGCCCATTGCTTTCAGTTTGTCCCACCATAACAAGGCAGGATGGACAAGCAGATGATGCAGCTAGAAGGGTTTGACAAGCAATACCAGTATCTCTGATCTTTCAGTCCCAGTGATCTTTCATGGCAGAGCCTCCAGGTCCATCCTCGAGCAGGGTTTTGGTACAGCTAAGAATCAGGCTTTTATTTTTACTTCTTTATTTTTTTAGCCAGTTTATTTTTTTAGCCAGTTAAATGGAGGCATTTGACATTTGGGTGTATTCATGATGATCTGGATCTAAGGGAACTTTCCTCACACCTACATGAGTGTTGTGTTCAGTGGGGAGATACAAACGCCTAAATAAAATACAGGATCCAATAAACCAGCACTTTGCCCTATCCGTAGTTTGTTACGGTTGAAATCTTCGCCCAATGTGAGAAATATTCTCGCATTATGGCAAAAGGGTTGCCATATTCCAGCAACCCTCTGCACACCTTGAAGGAGAGAAATGCCGTTCCCCATAGGGCTTGCAGAGCCGGATAAATGCCACGCTCTGTGGGAATGGAAGCTGGTTTCAAATCTCTGCCTATAAAACAGACTTTGCGGCACAGGCATCTAAATATAAACTGAGCAAAGGCTTTTTAACGCTTGCTACTCCTGCTTCTTAGGGGCTGGGAGGATCAGTGTTTCGGAAATCTCTGCCTCCTGTAAGCATAACTGGATGGTACCTTTTAATAAAGGTCGTGGTTTAGAGCCCTTTGTACAAAAATATATATATATATCAAGCCTGCAGATGGTTATTACAAGGCTGTGCAGTGTTTTGTCCTAGTAGGACAGCTGGGATAGTCTGGACGGGTGCTTAGTTTTGTAGGAGGGAGCAAAAGTCAGGAGTAGGGAATAAAAAAGAGTAGCTGCTTCTTGCAAGGAAGCAGAAGAGCTCTCGTCATCATCAGACCCTGCCCAGCCTAGTTCAGTGCCAGATCTGAGCACTCCGAAACCACGCTTTCCTGACCAAACCCACTCCCAGGGCGCCCAGACTATTGTGAGGGTCTCTGAACCGCCAACTGATGGGCATGTGATAATGAAGAGCAGCAGGAAAACCTCCCCTTGGCTCATCTATATGGGCCCCATGTGAGTGTCTTCAAAGTTCAATCCTGATATCATAATATCCCCATTACGACTTCCGTCCCCTGTAGCTTCAATTACAATAAACCAAGCAGATGCATAAAGACAGCTCAAAGCCCCAAGGTACCATTTGAAGCAGTCCCCGTGGTCTCCAAGGCTAGATCTGAAGTTCAAGCCCTGTCTCCAAAAGCGTTTTGTCCCTGCAGACGTGGAGGCATTTGCAAACCAGCTGCTTCTCTTTCTCCTAGGAAACACCTCCCTCCCCACACTCGTGTAGACACTTACAGCCGGTCGTAGCATAAGACGGAGTCCAAGGTCTTCTCTCCCTCTTTCAGTTCTTTCCCGCCGACCACAAAAATGGAGTTTTCTGCCTCTCCCAGGCCAAAAAGACAGCGAGGAGAGGGCAGTGGGGGCATCCCCAGCCAGTCGGCGTCCAGGTGGTCATACTGAAAGGAAGACATGGCCTTTAGTGTGTAAAAGGATGTGTTCACCCTGACTGCTTGCTTAGCTTCAATTAGGGTGCAGGGGTCGTGAGCAGAGCCCAATCCCATGTCCAGCTTGATCGCTTCTGATGGGCAGACTCTACAGGACTGTCCTCTACCTGATGCTGCTGCAGCTTCGGCAGAATGGGATCTTAGCACAAATGCAAGTCGTATATCATAAGATATTTATCTTACAAGAATGTTTAAGAGCAGAAATGTGCCTGCAGGAATGTGTTCTGCACTGCCCATGAAAGGATTGATTTGGAAAAAGGTTGGTCATCATGGGATGAGTGGGTGTCACCTAGTACCTGTAACTGTAACTTACGCCTTATGAGAAAGTGTGTCCAGTTGCCTGAAGCTCAGAGATGTTTAGACCCTGTTCTGCCATGACTATCCATGTATGCCTTGACTATGGAAGAACAGAGAAGCCCTGCTGTGGAGGAAGGGGCAGTTCTGAGATGAGATGCAAATATTTGGCCATCTCTAGGTCAGGATATTGCCTTACCTCACACTAGAGAGAGATGTGAAAAATTACAGGATATCATGTGGCCAGAGGCTTGCTAGGCATCAGAGATTGATGGAAACTGTAGACTGGGGCAACATTTTTAGTCCAGGTTGTCAGCAGAGAAGTGGGTTAATTCTGAGTTGAGCGTTCAGCTTGGTGGGACTCTGCAAGAGGAAGTTGTGATGGAGCAATGCCTGCAGCCCTGTTTGTTATGGGCTGGGGCCAAAGAGCTTCCAACTTGCTGGGTTGTCTCCAAACACTTGGCCTCAGTTGGGTGCCTGTGGTTATTGTCTCTGCAATTTGTGGCCCACATATGATGCGAGGGAGCGTCCAGAGTCAAAGACGCAGTCTCATAGAGATTAAGTCAATGCTCCGTTTATTGCAGATTCCACCACACTTTTATATAGTGAACAGTAAGCCGCACCCCTGACCAATCACGGTTTTACACGCTCTCCTCTCGCCTCTGTCTCGCCACTGTCTTCGGGGCTGGCATCCAATCCCTTATAAGTTTACCTATAAGGTTCCGGATACAAT